AAAGCGAGAAATCACCCCCAGGGGGATGGCCACACCACAATCCCTTCTCCTCCATTCTCCTCTCGGGATCTTGGGCACACACGCACACGCGCCTGGCGTGAGTTTAAGCCACCGGGTCCGGGACTAGAACCACAGTCGACTACATGGGAGTACAGTGACATAGCCATTATACTAACTGCTGGTCCCCATCCAGAGAAATTTAATAGTTGGGTGCTATTTCAGAGTTACTACTTCTCAAATGTGGTTCAAACTGTTAGGTTAAAAAAAAATTAGCAGGGTTTTTTGCAGTGTAATATTTATACAATAAATTGCACTTATTTCAAGTGAGTTTTGGGCTGACCCCATAATGCAGGGGTTAAGTCCTGTGCTTAGAAAGCCAGATCCCATGTGGCAGACTGGCTCGAACCGGGCCTGCTGCCGTGAAGGCCATCCCAGGCACGTGTGTATGCCCAGATGCTGACGGGGTAGGAACGGAGGAAGGAGATTGCAGCGTGTGACACCCCACAGGGGGCACTTTCTCTCCGTCTGTCTCTGTCCTTCTCAGACAGTTGCACGTGCCCTCGAGTAATAAAGTGAGTTTTGACACGGACCTGCCACCACAGTCAGAGTAGCGCCCCCTCTGCTCGTTGCAGTCCGCCCGTCCCCAGCCCGTCCAGGCAACCCTCACCTCGTTCCCGTGGTTTTCTGTGGACGGAGCCGTGCCCGTGTGCTGTCCGGCTGACATTTTGCACTTAGCTCTGTGAGGAGCGCGCAGTCTCGCCCTCTCACCTTTCGTGTGGACGCGCCGTGAGTATTTCTCCATGTGCTGAGCTCTCGGCTATGACAAATAAAATGCACCAACATCCACGCGCAGAGCTCCCCACGCACACAGCCTGTGTTTTCTCCTGAGTAAACATTTCTCCCAGGAGTAGAAATAGCGCCCGAATGATATGGCAGGTGTGTGTTTAGCTTTTTAAGAAACCGCCAGCTTACTTCTACTTCCTGGTTCATTATAAAATAGGACAGCACTCAGGAACGGTTAAATGGGAGAGCCTGTAAGCAAAGGAGGGGAAGGGCAGAGCCCTGTGGGAGGGGAGGGTGGCAGAGCCCCGTTGGATGGGTGGGGGCAGAGCCCCAGGGGGCGGGAGATTGGCAGAGAGCCCCGTGGGACGGGTGGGGGCAGAGCCCCGTGGGATGGGTGGGGACAGAGCCCCGTGGGACGGGTGGGGGCAGAAGCAGCTGGGTAAAGTGCCCTCTCTCCCTGCCCTGTCCCTTTTAACTGATCACAGAACCTAAATAGGAGCTACGTTATTCTTTTATTCTTTACTCTGTCCAAAAACGTATCAGCAGTGCTGTTTTCTTTCTAAACTCTTATTTTCCAGTTTCCCTCCCGTCCTCACCACAGCCCAGGTGTGGGACTCACCAGGAGCCTCAAGCAGGCCCTCCACCTGGCGCCCCTCAGCTCGGGCCCTGCCTCCTGCTCGCACTCGGACACAGAGCCACTCCTGCCACAGGCCAGGAGGGCCAGGCGTCCTCCCTCACTTCTCTCGGCCTGGCCGTGTCTAGGCAGGTGCCCCTCCCTGCCCACATGCGGTTACAGGCCCCCGTAAGCCTTCGGATTTGATCTCTGCTTTCAGGAGCAAGCACACAGGGCGGACGGGGCACCCAGGCACTCCGCGGCTGACTCGCAGGGAGGGTCCTGGGTTTCCTTTTTGTTGAGAAAGAGAGACAAAAAGAGAGAGAAGAAAGAAAACCCTGAACAACAGGGCTCAGACAGTGCCCTGGTGGGTTCAGACAGTGCTGCTGCGCCTGGAGAGGGCGTGGGGTGCCCCCGCCGCTCTGCCCCAGGAGGGAGTGCCCTGCAGGAGGGACTCGGCTTCCTGGAGGGATTCCGGTGCGCAGGCAGGATGGGTTCATCTGTCCAGCCGAGTCGGCCAGGCAGGTGGCCCCTCGACTCTCAGTAAACGAAGCTGTGAGTGAGCGGGACCGTCCAGGAGGGAGTGAGGAGGAGGCCAAGGGCGAGGCCCCAGGGCAGCACTTTACCCACACAGCCGCGTCAGCCAGGTTGTAAGTCACCGTCACCCCTTGGTCCCGTAACGTCTTCCTTTTTGTGTATTTTTTTTAAGGAGTGGTTCTGATTGAAGCCCGGGTTTTAGAGCTGGCGTTTCCTATCACCGCAGCTCAGAAGCTGGTTCTCAACGCCCGCAGTTCTCTGAAGACCGTCTTCTCCTCCCTTCCCAGTCTCGTATACACAGGCTGTGCAAAATGCGGCCTGGAGCTGGAGCTAGACGAGAACAAGATCTACACGCAGTGTCTGCGCTGCCTGCCGTTCACCGCCACCAAGACGCACTATAGGTAGGGGCCAGGCCAGCACCTGGTGGGAAGGTTTATATAGGGAGAGAGCGAGAGAGCGAGAGAGCGAGAGAGGAGATGGCACCACCGTGGGTCGCGGCCATACCACAGTCCCTTCTCCTCTATCTCTCCCTCCTGCTGGGACTTGGGGCACACATGCATATGTACCTCGTGTGTTTTTCACGTTGCCGGGTCTAGGACTTGAACCATGTCGTCAGCATGTGGAATCTGGCTACCTTAACCTCCAGGCCATGGGGCCAGCCCAACCTTCATGTTCTGACAGAGCTAACTAGAGCTAATCCAAGAGAATTAAATTTTCCCCAGGGCAGCAGATCTCTGTTTATGAAAGCAGAAAATGTCCCACATTCTTAAACGGAATTTTTGAAAGCAGTCTTTGCAAGCTTTTATTTGTTTTCAAAAGATATTTTATGTATCTTGTATTTATTGTCAGCTATACTGAAGAAAAATTTTCCTTGGTTTATGTTTTGAATCAGACTCAAATGGCTCATAAATCATTAGTTCGTCGCCTTCACAAATTTGAAGATGAAAAGTATTCCAAAGCATGGAGATCAAGACCCTGGATCCACATAGCTGGCTGCACAGCTTGAGTCCTGGGCTGGCGGCCTGGAAAATAGGCCAGGCACGTGTGTGCACCTGTCCAAAATCCCGTGAGGAGAGAGGATTGCAGCGTGGCCATCCGCCCAGGGGGAGATTTCTTACTTTCCCTCTCTCTCTCTCCCTCTCTGTCTCTGGCAAACACATGTACCCTATAACAACAAAAAAGGCATTATCTGGGGCCAGTCAGTGGTGTGATAGGTAAGGCAGCTGAATCCCACATGGTCAACTGTGTGGTTCAAGTCCCAGACCTGGCAGCTTAGAAAACATGCCAGGCACATGTGTGTGATGCCCCAAATCCTGAGGAGAGAATGGGGGAGAGGGGATTGCAGCATGTCCATCCCTTGGGTGGTACTTTCTCACTCACTGTCTGTCTCTCCAGTAAGCGCATGCACCATATGACAAATTAAAAGCAAAGTAATGATATGATCTTACCTTCGAGTTGCTGTGGAAACGGGTAGAATGCTTAACCTTTCATAGGTCAGCTGTCCCTCCTTTACCTTAAAAGTTAGAGATAGCAAATACATCTTCTACGATACATTGCTACTGAGCGCAGGGAAGAGCATGGTCTTTCAATAATGTGTGTTCGCAGTCTTGCATGATCCTTTTGTACCTTCTACATTTATAAAACAGCATCCAGAGCCTCACTCTCTTCCTCATCTTTCTAAATACGGTGGGGTGTGTGCACGAGTGCAGGGTGTGGCACGTCGGCAGGACACACTGCAGGGCAGTTCGCAGAGACAGTCCCCAAATCCCATTTCCTTGGAGATGCTTATGCCTGTTAGAAATAGGAAGGAGGACTAGCAGTTAGCGTAATGGCTATGTTGCTGGCCTCCCACGTAGTTGACCGCAGTTCGAGTCCCGGACCTGGTGGCTTAAAACTCACGCCGGGTGCGTGTGCGTGTGTGCCCAAGATCCCGAGAGGAGAATGGAGGAGAAGGGATTGTGGCATGGCCATCCCCCCTGGGGGATGATTTCTTGCTTTCTCTCTGTCTCTCTCTCTCTGTCTGGTGAGCGTACGCCCCCTATAGCAAAAACCTCTCCAAAAAAAGAAAAAAAAAAGAAATAGGAAGGGAACTTGGCTATTACTTGGAAAATTGCTTTTATGGGAAGGAAGTGAAGTGAAGTAAAACATGGTATACCACGATGTAACCAACGGAGCTGGACTCCTGCATGGTTCTGGCCCTGGAAGGTACGCAGCCGTGACTAGCTTCTATCGGTCCTAATGTTTCCATCCGGTGGAGCCATTTGTTGGACGGAAGCAGTGCCTGGGTATAATCTTGTGGCGAGGAGGACCTTTGACTCTCCAGGGTAAAGGGTGACTGTCCAGGGCGGTGTCACCTGGTAACGGTCGGCAGCCGGGGTGTGGGAGGCCGGCCTGGCCTGTGCGAGGGGGAGAGGCGCCTTCCTGGTCTTGCAGGGATGTGAATAGACTTGCTGTGGCCAAGTTGTTTTTCTTTGTTTATTTAATAGCTGTAAATTGTCTCCAGTGTAGGACCTAGAGTACTGGCTCTCCTTGAAAAGACAGTACTGAGAGGAACTGTCACACTCTCTTCCCCGATCGGCAACCCTGAGCCGGCAGCTGTAACAGTGAGACCGAGTTCCCACGGCTCATGTTCCAGGACGCGGCCAGTCAGACACTGGCGTGCACATTCGCCGCCGGTGCTTAGTGCTGGGAGACTGAGGGCCCGCACTCGTGCTCTGGCATGTCCCTGCTAGCCTCCCCTGCACCATGGTGGGCCCCGCGCCGCCCTGCCCCGGCAGCACACGCTGGGCGGCGTCACCTGCTCACGACGGCGGGGCCTGTCACTCCGGGTGCCTGCTGCTCTCCTCTGGCCCGGCCACCGCAGCAGACAGCCCGGTGTTCCCCGAGGAACTTCTCGAGGGTTCTTGCTCCTCCCCAGGGTGCAGGCTGCTGCTTGGTGCCCTGGCCTTCATGCCACTTCTGAGAGGCCGTGCCCAGCCCTGGGGCCCCTGCGGCAGTGTCCGCGTGCTCCTGCTGCACCCCGTAGGTGGTTAGTTGCAGGTTAGCTGTCTTTAGGGAAAAACGTTTTCACTGAAACAGAATGTGCAGACCGTCAGGTGAACCCCAATCGGGCCAGCAGTGTCCACGTGCTCCCCCACCATGCAGGTGTGAGGAGTGGCCCAGGATGGTTATCACACGGCTCCAGCCGTCCCTCCGGCTTCCGCCCTAACTGGCACGCGGGTCTGCCTCAGCCCCGTGGGTCTGCCTGTCTGGACTCTGCCGGGATTGGGATGGGGTCGTGTGCGGCCTGCCTGACCGCACCTTTCCTGCCTGCCCTGTCTGCAGGGTTGCCCCGTGGCAGCGTTCACCCCGACATGACGGAGAGCCCACCATGGGCGGCCATCGCTGATGGCCACATCCTGGCTGTCCTAAGCGATCCTACTGCAGGCCTGTCCAGGTCTCCGTGGGCGTGCAGGGTGGAGCCGCCCAGGCACGGGAGCCCCTGCTGACCCGTCTGCGCAGCCCCTGCAGTCTGACCCGCTCTGCTCCACACGCGGGCAGTCGCCCTTTCTCTGCTTTCTCGCGGCACTCTCCCTGGCTTCCTTCTTGCTGCCCGCGATGCCTAAGAAGGGGGTCATCACTGAGCCGGTCTGTGGCGATTTAACCCTTCTCTGTCTTCCTGGCGAGTGCACGTGCCCTATAGCAAAAACCTCTCCAAAAAAAGAAAGACAGAAAGAAAAGATGATTTTCTCTTAGGGCCAGCAGGTGGCATGCTGGTTAGGGGCACTGGACTCCCACATGGCCAATCATGGTTCGAGTCCTGGACCTGATGACTTGCTTTCTCACTTTATCTCCCTCTTTCTCTTACTCTGTCCCGCTGTGGTCAAATTAAATAAATAAATAAGGTTAAATAAAATAATTCCTTTAAGTAAAAAAGAGAGGGTTCTCTCCTCATCGAATCATCTTGGCATCATTGCCAAAAAGCTTTTCTTCCTATCCCATTAAACACTGGTTTCCTGAATGAAGAAACTACACCTGTCTCATCCGCAGCGTTCACCCAGCGCTGAGGAGGTCCACATCACGTAACGGCTCATCTGTGTTCGCGAAGGAAAGGACGGAGGGGTGGAGAGGGGAAGGTGGAGAGGGAACAGAGGAAGTGGCCCAGGGCCACGGAGTCAGTCTCCGAATATCAGCGTTTTTAAGAGAGATGTTTGCTATAGGGCGTGTGTGCTCACTGAAGAGATAGAGAGACAGGCATCTCACTGAAGAGACAGAGGCACAGGCACCCCCGTTGGCATCTTAGCCGTGCCGTGCACTGCTTTTTTCACTGAGTCGTTGGAAGAGGCAGGACACATTTTTCTGTTTTTCTATGCAAAACGCATCATGAGTTTTCCATGCCCCAATAAAAGTAATTTTTACAAAATGAAGTAAGAACGACGTTCAGGGACCGGCAGACGGTGTAATGGTTACGTCACTGCACTCCCACGTAGTCGACCATGGTAGTCCCAGACCTGGTGGCTTAAAACTCACGCCGGGTGCGTGTGTGTGTGCCCCAAATCCCGAGAGCAGACTAGAGGAGAAGGGATTGCAGCATGGCCATCGTCCTTGGGGGCGATTTCTCGCTTTCTCTCCCTCTTTCTCTCTCCAGTGAATGCATAGGCCCTAGAGCAAAACTGGAAAAACAATCCATAAAAATGCCTATTATGAAAAATATTGCGCTAAATTTCAGGGGTTTTGGTACCAAAGTAAGCTTGTACTTTACTGCCATTTCCCACTAACGTTTTGAAGTCCCTGGCTCTGTCCCTCTCTTTCCAAGTCCACGGGCAGAGTAGCGTTGCTCACACTGAGTTCCCGAGTCTGCCGTGCCGCCCCTTCCCGACCCTTACGGCGCGTCCCTTCCCGCTGCCCTGGTCTCAGTGTAGGGTGGGCAGAAGCTGACTCAGACCCCTTTTTACTGAAACGGAAACCGGTTTATTTTGGGTAGAAAAAAATCCACGGGAAAAAGTAACTTGAAACTGTGATCTTCGCCTTTATTTTTATTTCTAAAAAGAATGTACATGATAGTGTAAAACAAAGTATCTTTTCTTATATTAGATCTGAAATTTTAAAATAAAGATGGGAGAAGTAAAATTGATCCACGTACCATTTGAAAACTGTTTAAAGCCTTTGTTTTCAGAAAATGCAGGGCTGTGCTAGGGCCGAAACGAGCACCACATGGGCCCGGTGATTCCTGCCTTGGACTCATTCACGCATTGCTCTCCTTCGACGTCTCGTTGAAAGTCAAAGTCGTGTGCTGTTCTCGCTTCCGTAGGCCCGCTGTCATGACTGTGCACGACGGGAGGCATGACGTCGGCATCAGCGTGGGGCCGGAGCTGGTAGAGAAGCTGCTTCTCCACATCCCCGCAGACCGCCTGCGCAGCGCCATAGGTAACACGCCCACGCCGTCCAGGGCGCTCCTGGGAGCCTCCCTCCTAGGTCGGGGCCTCCTGGGCCGAGAGCAGGTGCTGAGAGCTGCGGGCTCTCCTGTCCCTGTGCAGGCAGAAGCACACTCGACTGGGGACAGCCGGGACATGCAGATGGGGGTTGTGCTCTGCATGCGTCATCGTGTGGAACACGCCCTGCGGGGAAGCACCGTGGCTCCTGGGCCTGGTTCTGGCCGCTAAGCAGCCACACGCGGACCCGGTTTACTACAGTCAAGTGAGTGAGCGTGCGAGGCGCTGTGGGGCGGGCTGACACTGGGATCAGGGGAAGCTGGTCCCTTTGTCAGGTGACCAGACCTGTCCTCATCAGCCTCAGACTCCCGAAGAAGTGCAGGGAAGGATACAGGGCAGCTGCAAAGTAAGACGCCTGAGCTCCCTGCAGTCTCAGCCTCGTTTTTGAATGAGAGTTGATATCAATTAAGTAACTGATTCAGGTTCTTTGATATAAAAAATCAAATGTATGTGTCTGCAGCTGTGATTAAAGCGTGGCTTTGGGCAGGTGGAAGAGTACTTTTCTGGGGCAAGCAGTGGGTACAGAGGTTAAGGCAGCTGAATTCCGCATGGCCTACCATGCAGTTCGAGTCCCAGACTGGGTGGCTTGAAAAATAGGCTGGATGAGAGCCCCACATTCCAGGAGTGGAGGAGGGGGATGTGGTGTAGCCGCCCCCCGGGGGTGATTTCTCACCTTCTCTCTCATAAGAACATGCCATATAATAAATTGGGGGGAGGGCTTTTTGCTACAGGGTGCCCTTTTTGTCTCAGTCGTAACTGAGGAAAACCTTAGTCCCAGCTGCTTACTGAATGGCTTTAGGAAGCCGACAGCTACCACGCTGGAGCCGCTGCGGGGCGGACAGGCCGATGTTCTCGCTTCCGTAGGCCCGCTGTCATGACTGTGCACGACGGGAGGCATGACGTCGGCATCAGCGTGGGGCCGGAGCTGGTAGAGAAGCTGCTTCTCCACATCCCCGCAGACCGCCTGCGCAGCGCCATAGGTAACACGCCCACGCCGTCCAGGGCGCTCCTGGGAGCCTCCCTCCTAGGTCGGGGCCTCCTGGGCCGAGAGCAGGTGCTGAGAGCTGCGGGCTCTCCTGTCCCTGTGCAGGCAGAAGCACACTCGACTGGGGACAGCCGGGACATGCAGATGGGGGTTGTGCTCTGCATGCGTCATCGTGTGGAACACGCCCTGCGGGGAAGCACCGTGGCTCCTGGGCCTGGTTCTGGCCGCTAAGCAGCCACACGCGGACCCGGTTTACTACAGTCAAGTGAGTGAGCGTGCAAGGCGCTGTGGGGCGGGCTGACACTGGGATCAGGGGAAGCTGGTCCCTTTGTCAGGTGACCAGACCTGTCCTCATCAGCCTCAGACTCCCGAAGAAGTGCAGGGAAGGATACAGGGCAGCTGCAAAGTAAGACGCCTGAGCTCCCTGCAGTCTCAGCCTCGTTTTTGAATGAGAGTTGATATCAATTAAGTAACTGATTCAGGTTCTTTGATATAAAAAATCAAATGTATGTGTCTGCAGCTGTGATTAAAGCGTGGCTTTGGGCAGGTGGAAGAGTACTTTTCTGGGGCAAGCAGTGGGTACAGAGGTTAAGGCAGCTGAATTCCGCATGGCCTACCATGCAGTTCGAGTCCCAGACTGGGTGGCTTGAAAAATAGGCTGGATGAGAGCCCCACATTCCAGGAGTGGAGGAGGGGGATGTGGTGTAGCCGCCCCCCGGGGGTGATTTCTCACCTTCTCTCTCTCATAAGAACATGCCATATAATAAATTGGGGGGAGGGCTTTTTGCTACAGGGTGCCCTTTTTGTCTCAGTCGTAACTGAGGAAAACCTTAGTCCCAGCTGCTTACTGAATGGCTTTAGGAAGCCGACAGCTACCACGCTGGAGCCGCTGCGGGGCGGACAGGCCGGCAGCTGCCCTCCCTGCCGGGGCTGTGCCGCCCTGGGTGCCTGCGGCTGCGGCCTCTGCCAGGGCCTGCAGAGAGAACACGAGTGTGGTGACTCGACGTGTGGGAACGAGGACCCCTTCGTGGGCGTCTGTGGGGCTGGAGGAGGCCCTGAGCGTGCGTCTCTTCTGACCTTCCCAGTGCCGTCCTCGGAGGTCACCTATGGCTTGGTGGCAGCGGACTTGCTACACTCCTTGCTGGCGGTCAGCGGGGAGCCTTGCGTGCTGAAGATCCAGAGCCTTTTTGTGTTGGACGAGAATAGCTGCCCACTGCGACAGGATTTCTCCCTACTGGACTTGCGGCTGACAGCGAGCAGCGCGGAGCTGCGCCCTTCCTGAGGCCAGATGAAGACATTGTCCGCGTTCTAGGAAGAAGTACTGAAATGATGAAATGATGTGTCTTTTGAAATAAATGGATAACGGCACTTTCGCTTCAAGTTTTAAAACGTGTCTCACAATGCGACCAGCAGGTGGCGCCAAGGTTGCGGTGACTGGGTCCCACAAGGTCAACCCCAAGTCTCCAACCCAGCTGAGTGCATGTGTGTGTGCGTCCAAAATCCTGAGAGGAGAATGGAGAAGCGATGGGGCATGGCCATGTCACCGGGGGCAT